GAATGCTATTGCAGTTGAAGGAAACAGATATGCAGATTATGATAGAGTGCAAATGACGGTTCACAAAATGTAACACTTCATTTAGGCTAGTGATACACGCAAAGGTCATTACATGACAGACTGGCAGGTTTGGGAAACTTTGAAGCGATGCTTCAAGACTAGGGATCTCTTCAAGCAAGATTTTTTAAGAACTTGGATGACTTCAGCAAAATCAACAAGTTTGACTAAAGCAGTGTTATGCTGTATTTTATAGACATTAAGTAGTCAGTCCTTGAGCTTGAAGCCCTTTACAGCCTCAGGACTGACCCCTTAACAAAACTGTAAATGGCAATAAAGAAACACCCACTACTATGTGCTTGTAGCAAAGACAACAAGACTAGGTAATGTAGACTAAATTATGGTTGTGCTTAATAGAAATGGTCAGACAGATGTGTTTAGAGTTCTATTTTGAAGCTTTAACATGCTGGGCACTAAATACATTGAGAATCTGCATATTGTGCACTTTGCCTGTGAACAGCTGAGCTCCTTGTTAAAGTCCATCGCACTCCATTGTTTTCCATGAGTGTGCTGTATGCACACCATGTTCAATTTTTTCACATTGCTTAGCAATGCATAAACAATGCAAAGAAGTATGGCGACTTAAGTCATGCCTCTTCTGTTTCCAAAATAAGAGTCTCACATTTATGAATGAACCAAAAAATGTGGAAAAAAATCCCATTATTGTAACCTCACTGGGTACCGTGGCCAATCAAAAGCAGTCTGGTGCATGCATAATAATTTTACACTCACAGGATTTACATGAATGGGTAAAGACTGGAGTTTGAAGCTCATAGTACAGCCTTTTCCATGCCCTCTTATTCGACTAAGTATATCCAGATTTCCATTTATATGGCACCTTTAGTGTAATGTTATATGAGAATACTGGACAGCATATTTGATGTTACACATCGCAAATTATATTTCTCGAAAACCCGTATGACCTGCTCTTTAAATACACAGTGTATTTTTTCAGTGTTAAGTAGAATTTGTGGAATTGATAGATGCTTTAGAACAGGGGTGTGTCCCCAAACTCTGTCCTGGAGGGCCGGTGTCCTGCAAAGTTTAGTTCCAACTCCAATCAGACAAACCTGGACTAACTAATCTAGATTTAACTAGGCTTTTAACAACCATGCTGGTGTATTGAGGCAAGTATAAGCTAAAATCTGCTGGACACCAGGAACTACTTGGACTACCCTAGCCCTTAAGTCTTGGTTGTTGTTGTAATTATTGCACTTTATTTATATATATATATAAAAAAAAATATATATATATATGTTCGAAATTCATGTAGACCATGTACTTATTAAAGTTGGTAAAATGAAAACTAATAAAAACAGCTATTCAAAAAAATACATTTAATAAAAAACCTATACCTGCAGCCCTAATAAAATAGGACTGTTTTCTGAATCTATTTGTCCTGTTATTTCTGTTACTCGTTTATTTCATGCTTTATGTGTATTTCTGTGCATGTATCTGTTATTTCCTTTACCTCATGAATTGGATTGTGGTTTACAGATGGCATCTGAAAGGGAAGGCAGCAGTGGCTCAAGTTCATCAGGAGAAGCAGGAGAGAAGAAGGAGGGTCAACAGTAAAGCCGATGACCGTTGAGATCGTTTGTGGAACTGAATGGCTTGGGAGCGTGAATTTGTTTTCCTGAGCAGCGCATGCAGAATATTCTCAAACATACTGTGTTTTTGGCAGTAATTTCTACAAAACTAAATTGTCCTTTTCCTCATTTACCTCCCTTACATTGTTTTACATTCATTTGTGTCTGCTGTAAATCTGTATCAGCCTTGGAAAATAATGTGCAGCATGTTCGATTTGCCACCGTGGCTTCAAAAATCAGTGCAATACATGTTAGCTTGACAAAATACATGCTCTCACCGCAGGCATAATCCTATTGCCATTTAGAGATACATTCCAGCCATTTGGCCTCAGTGTTGTATGGAGTCCTGTTTTTGAGTTAATTATTTTTATTATTACTGAAAATGTGTGTGTTGACCTGATGGGGTGGAATGCATGTCTGAATGGCTTTAGGGTGTATTTACAGTTAGTTTATACTGAATACTTTAATACTTAAGTGTGGCTGAAGTGTTTCAAGAAAACAAAGTTTTATTATAATCACTAGAGTATCTGTTCTATCAATTCTCCTTAAATGCATCGATTTCAAGCTTGTGCCAGTCAGTTTGAGGTTGGGTATGAAACTTGAATAAACCTAGGTAGCGTGGAATTGATAGTCAAATTGTCAGTTTGTTCATACAGTTACTAGTGCACATAAAGTACATTAGTACGTGTATGTTAGCTTGACATGTATAAACCTGTATCTCCAGACTAGATGATATTTAAAATGGATGCTCAAGCAAACAGGTTTAATTTCATTTTAATCTATGTATTGCTGTTAATGACAATAGTGATTTATTACAAGTCAGGCTGTCTTGAGTGAAGGATCAACTACTTATTGTCATTTCCTTGCTGCAAAATATAACACAATCCCATCTTCTCTGCTTTTTCTATATGACTTTCTGGTTCATTTAAAGAAAAATAAAAACTAACCACGGTTGCTCTGTACAAAAGCTGTTGTCTGTTTAAAAGAATTGTAAAATGTTCAAAACGGAATTGAATGAATAGATGAGCCTAAAGTAAACTTCCAATTCTGTCTTTTTTTTTATAATAAAATGTGTATTTATCAGCTGAGCTATGTTTGTAGTGGTGTGTCTTGTTCCCCCAGCACTACATTTTGAATGCCTCTATAAATTATGGTACCTAATTAATGTCTTGGAGTTGTATGGATTATGATCAAAATACCCAAGTGCAGCTTATATTTAACTTGCATGAATTAATTATTCACCAAACTGCATGTCTAAAACTCTTCACAAACGTTTGGAAATGAGAGTGTGGACCTAATGGGATACAGTGCATCTGGAAAGTATTCATAGCGCTTCACTTTTCACATTTTTTTAATGTTACAGCCATATTTCAAAATGGATTAAATTAATTTATTTCCTCAATTCTACACACACTAGCCCATAATGAAATGATTACATGTACATAAGTATTCTCAGCCTTTGCCTTGAAGCTCTAAATTGAGCTCAGGTACATTCTGTTTCAACTGATGTTTCTTGAGATGTTTCATCAGCTTAATTGAAGTCGACCTGTGGTAAATTCAGTTGATTGGACATGATTTGAAAAGGCATACACCTGTCTATATAAGGTCCCAGGGTTGACGGTGCATGTCAAAGCACAAACCAAGCTTTTTTTTTTTTCTTTTTTTTTTTTGAAGAAATTTGCATTATTTTTACATTTTCTTTTTACAATCTCATGATTGTTATTTTTGTTTGTATTGTGATGTAAAAGGGTTTTAGAAGTTATTACAACCTAACTCACCATTTCTGTTGCCAGCGAAACCAGCGAAAGAGACGTTTATAGATAAAATTAGTTTTTCTAATAAAAAAGATAGAAATTACAAAAATTGAAAAGGTTGTCACTTTGCTTCCAGTAATATCTTGGAAAAAAATATTTAGTGATTTGAAATGGAGAAAAAATTGTCTTTTAATCAAATTTTATTATAATAAACAATTTTAAAAAAGCTTAATTCTAAAATTAATGTAAAAGGTTCATTTTGTCAATTTCATACAGGAACTTTATATTTTGGGATTGTAATTATGCTGTACAATTATTTTAAACATATTGGCTCATTTATTAATGATAATACACTGCAAGATGTTACTTTTAAAGAAATTATTTTTGGTTTTGAATCTGCCTCTATTAATGCTTGTTTTGTCATAAATTTAATGTATTTTCTTTAAAGTCCATATTCACAAATACAAATTTGCTAATACCAAACCACCAAAAAAACTTTTTTTTTTTTTTTGCAAGAATTTAGTCATTATTTACATTTAATTTAATCATCTGAAAATATAAAAGCAAACAGAACCATTTTATTTTGGAATGACTAATTCATACTATGTAATTAATTCTTAAATGTCTTAGCCTCAAGTTTGTCATGTTCTTTATTTTTGTTTTTTTTCTTGTGTATCTTTTTTTCATACTCTGGATTGTAAACAAATATCATAGATATAATAGTTTAACTTCTAATAACTTTTTTTTTTTTTATCTTTACCCACAGTTAGTTATTTTGCAAGATAGTTGTATACTGACAAAGTGCCTTTATTCTGAAGCCTTTGATTTAGATTAAAATGTAATTTAAAGACTTGTTTATTAGGACAGTTGGAATAATTGGTCGAGTTATTGTATAACTAGTTTTTTGCGTAGACAATCAAAAATATAAAGTAAATATTTCTTAGGCTAATAAAACTGACCTTATTATTTTTTTTATTAGAAACTGCTTTTATTCAAGAAATATAAGAAATAGGACTTGTGACTCCAGAAGAATTATTTTTTGTTTTATAGGAAATACTGTGAAGATTTCCTTGGTTTGTTAAAGATCACATGAAAAACATCTTAAATTAATGGGTGGGCAAAAAAAAAAATACTTCAATTCTGTCTTTTAAAGATTACAGGTGCGAAAATGTGCCTTGAACTTGAATGTTAAAACTGTCTTATCCTACAATACAAAGTTACTTGTCAAATAAGTTAATTTTGAGTTTTAAAAATGTATTATCTTATTTAAATAATTGTTTAAGTAGTTTGTGATGTATGTTAAAAGTGTGCCTCCTAAAAGTACAAGTGATCCCTGCCTGGCCCCTCCAGTTACTCTGGTCTAGAACCGCCACTGGCTGGCAGCAAGTAGATATTTATTATAAATAGGAAATGTAATGCATATATTTATTTACAACCAAGTAGCCAATCCAATTGTCCCAGTTGTCTTTAACATACACATTGTAGACTTTTTTTCCATTACCTCATTATCCTTAATGTGAAACTCCTCCGGGACTGTTGCTTGCTTTCGCTTTTGTTTCAGTAAGATACGATGACACACCATCTTCACTGATCTGAGGAGCAGGAGGGCAAAGTAAGTTTACTTGGTTTTGATGTACATGTTTTACCTAGTATCGTTTTCTGGAGCCTCAAAATAAAGTAGTTTTGTCCTTGAAACAAATACAGACATTAAGACGTAATAGGTTTACCAACACTTCAGTGTAAAAAAATTAATGAACTGTCAACTTAGTTCAGCTAAAATTTAGCCGCTTTAATGTAACGTTGTCGTTGTGACGTTACGTTTGACTAGAAAAATTACATTACTGCATCTTAAGTCGGGCTTTACCAGTTGATTATCCCATTACGTTTTTGACCAAAAACGGATTATAAATACATTACATACATGAACTTAAAGTTGAAGTTAAAAAAAAAATGTTCATAACTACTGGACTTTTATTTTGAAATTGTGTTTACAGTGTCTTTCTAAGGTCACAGCGTCTGAGTTCACTTGAACGCGATTTTGAACTCCAGTCGGAGGGGTGCAAGGCTTTCAGAGGCGGTGAGAAATACTTGAAACTTATTTGATAAGTTATGTCTTCGCGTTAGAGCTTAATTTACTTTTTTTTTCATGTGATGTTTAGTTGCTTATTAAAGTTTATTACGCATGAGTAAAATACAGAAAATACTTACTGTATTGGCGCGCAGGACCCCCCAACCCACGCATCAAAACGTCATGAAACAGCCATGTTTGACATTATCGTCATCATGATCAATTTCACTTTTGAAAGTGGCGTTATGAAAAGTTTTAATGTGCATTTGTTTGGTCTGTTTTTTTAGTGTCATTCATCCTTGCACTAACGTACAGCAGTAAAACAGTAAGCAATTAAGTTATACGAATTGAGTTACGTTATTATGACACTAGTTTCAACGTACAATTAACGAATACTAATTGTAAGTATTGAAAGCGTAACGTGTACTTTAGCGTCGTATGAATTGTGTTGGGTGTATGGGGTGTTGAAGTAACTTAGTGACTGTTGAGGTAACTTAGCAGCTGAGTCTGCAAAACCTCACTTCCGTATCAGCAACTTAAGACTTTGCCTTCATGTTCAGTTTTGTACATTTAAAATAACTAAGAATAGACACTTAAACCAAATTAGGTATTTGGAGTTGCTAATATTTATTATTTCACCTGAGAATTAAATTTAATCTAAAATTAGATATCATATTTCTGGAATATTTAGTGATTTTAAACTACCAATATATTAACCCTGTCTACTTTTATTAGGTAGTCTATTTTAAATATTTAGAATATTTAGTCTGTTTTTAAACATTTTTTCAAATTTGTTCACATCACGTCTGTTTGACTCATCTAATACTAGTCAAAAGTTCAATAAAATTTCTAAATTAATGTGTGTGTGTGAGAGAATTCCATGCAAATGTCAACCTTGCCATGAAAAAAATTTAAGCTTCAACCAAAGTAGCAAAACCGTTTGTACATTTTTGGTGTACAAAAAAACCTACTCAAAAATGTCTACGTCAATGTTTTCAAAGTATTATATTTCATTTAGCAAAGTCACACAAGTGCCAATTTCACATCAGTCACATCCATAACGAAACTTTTACCTCAGAAATGTAAAAGTGTAAAATAAAATAAAATCAATCATGTTTGTTCTATAGAGAGTCAACTCTTTTCCTTTTTATTAGCGTTGTTTCTCTTGGGTTTCATTCACAGAATTTCTACGTGTGTTGTTTGCTGTAAACTTGAATACCTTTTTCGTCACATCAGTAACACATGTTTATTTTCCTCATTTGAAATATAAAAAGTTTTTACAGATTGATATTTTTGTGATTTCATCACTCTGTGGTTAGTTGTTTTGGACTATATAAACAGATTTTTCAATATAATGTTAACATATTTTCTCTGAATTTAAGTTTAAAGTTTTTACTGCAAATGTCACATCCATACCGCTGGAATTGATTATGTGTGTGTGTGTGTGTGTATGTATATATGTGTATGTATGTATGTATGTATGTATGTGTGTATATATATATATATATATATATATATATATATATATATATATATATATATATATATATATATATATATATATATATATATATGGCTGATTCCAGCGTCATGGATGTGACATTTGCAGTAAAAATTCAAAACATAAATTCGCAGAGAAAGTATACGTTAACATTATATTGAATCATCTGTTTATATTTTCCAAAACAACTAACCACAGAGTTATGGGATCAAAAAAATTCAATCTGTGAACATTTTTATACTTTAAATGAGGAAAATAAACAAGCGTTATGGATGTGATAAAAAAGTCTGCGAGTTTACAGTATACAACATATTTCGTAGAAATTCTGTGAATTAAACTGCACAACCCAAAATAAATAATGCTCAACAAAAGGATAAGAGTTGGCTCTTTATAGAACAAAACTGATTGATTTTATTTTATTTTGACATTTTTGCATTTTTGAGGGAAAAGCTTTGTTATGGATGTGACACTTTTTCGTTATGGATGTGACATGTGAAATTGCCATTTGTTTGACTTTGGTAAATCAAATATAATAGTTTGAAAACATTGACAGAGACATTTTTAAGTATTTTTAAAATACGGTAAAACAGTTGCCTGCGCAAAAAATGTAGAAACGGTTTCGCTATTTTGGTGAAAACATTTTTCTTTTCATGGCAAGGTTGACATTTTAATGGAATTGCTCATATATATATATATATATATATATATATATATATATATATATATATATATATATATATATATATATATATATAATATCATAACAGATTTCAAAAAAATGTTTTTTTGCCGCAGAGTGAACTTTGCTAATGCCAAGTTAATGTAGTAGAAAGTATTTTGGTAAAAAAAAACAAAAAAAAAAAAACTTTTGTTTGATTTTTAGGTGCCACTGCCTGTTTGGATGCAGAATGCAGACGATTAAGTGTGTGGTGGTGGGAGACGGTGCGGTAGGCAAGACATGCCTTCTTATTTCTTATACGACAAATGCCTTTCCAGAGGAGTACATTCCCACAGTGTTTGACAACTACAGTGCTCAGATGAGTGTAGATGGGCGCACTGTCAGCCTCAACCTCTGGGACACGGCAGGGCAGGAGGAGTATGACCGTCTGCGCACGCTTTCTTACCCACAAACTAATGTTTTCATCATTTGCTTTTCCATCGGAAGCCCTTCATCATTAGCTAATGTTCGCCACAAGTGGCACCCGGAGGTGTCTCACCACTGTCCCAACGTGCCAATTCTTCTAGTTGGCACCAAGAAGGATCTGCGTTCAGATACAGAGACAATTAAGAAGTTGAAGGAGCAAGGGCTTGCACCCTCTACTCAACAGCAGGGTGGCACCCTGTGCAAGCAGATCAATGCTGTGAGGTATCTGGAGTGCTCGGCGCTCCGCCAGGAAGGCGTGCGGGATGTGTTTGTAGATGCTGTTCGTGCTGTGCTCTACCCCATGACCAAAAAGAATACCAAGAAGTGTGTTCTCTTATAGTCGGCTGTACATCGGGGACTGCTGGAGGAGTATAATTTTATTAACAAGCTGACCCTTTTATTTGTGTAATTTTTTTTTTCTGTGTCTCACTGACTTTCTCCTGCTAACATAAGTACCTTTCGTTTTTGTATTACTTGTAGATCAGTCTGCCAAAGTTATTCGCCTATTTTTTTATGATAATAGAAAACAGATTATTTACGGATGCTCAATGAAAGATATTTTTATATACAGATGCGGTGACCATGTCCATGATTAGCAAGTATGTAGAGTGGGATTTTTGCTTGATAATGACCTTGACTGTGCATTCTGATTAATGTGCAATTTAATGAAGACTGACTGAGACCGACACTTTAGGTTTCCCTTCCAATTCTTTGATAAGCCCCTTAAAGTCTTTTTTGTAGCTGTTATATTCACACAAAAGCAATATTTCAACCAGTTGTAAAAGGATATGTTTTTCTCCAAAATCAGGTTTATCAAAAGAAAAAGTTTAGAGATACAACACCTTTTAAGGAGCATTCTGATATCTGTTATTCACAATCGCCAGCTGTTAAAAACTTATTTCCATAATGCAAAAACGAAACCTTGATTTTTATTTATTGATGATTATTTTTAGTGTCATGCTGTACAGTTTTTTTTTTCAGATATATATTTTTTTATTTTACAAAAAAAAAGTCCCTTTTAAGAATTGCCTCATGTGCTTTTTTTTTTTTTTTTAAAGCTGCCTCCCATGGCTAAGCAAGTAATATATTATTATTTTTATCAGATTTAAGCAGCATCCCATTTTCTTGTTAGATTTTATGAAGCAATTTTTTACTCAAAGCTTACTGAAGTTAAACTTTTAGTTAGAGTTAAGTCTTATCTGCCACACCCTCAGCCTGATTCCTAGGATTTACCCTGTATTTTATGCAGCACAAGAGTTGTTTGTCAGTTGTTTTTATAAGATCCCTCATTCCTATGACCAAGTGAATGTCTCACACCGTGCACTGTGTGATACATGAACAGTGATTTGTCTTTCAAACCCAAAGAAGACTAAGCTGCAGGCATGCGTGGCTTCTGTCGTTTTAACCCGCTGGGTCCAAAGTTCAAACCTGCACTAAGATGAGTGCTATTTGCTTCTGTTTGCTTTGGAGAAAGAATGACTCCAAACTACAGGATATATATACCGGCCGCTTTATTAGGTACACTATACTAGATGGACCCCTTTTGCCTTCAGAACTGCCTTTATATTTCTAGGCATAGATTCAACAAGGTACTGGAAATATGCGATGCGAATCTTCTGTTCCACAACATCTCAAAGGTGCTCTATTGGATTGAGATCTGGTGACAATGGAGGCCATTTGAATATAGTTAACTTATTGTCATGTTCAAAAAACCGGTCTGAAATTAGTTGCGCTTTGACATGGCATGTTGTCCTGCGGGAAGTAGCTACCTGGTCTGATCTTGTGCTGCTGTAGCCCATCCACTTCAAAGTTTGATGTGTTGTACGTTCAGAAATGCTTTTCTGCATACCTCGATTGTACCAAGTTTCTATTTAAGGTACTGTTGCTTTCTATCAGCTCAAACCGATCTGGTCATTCTCCTCTGACCTCTGGAATCAACATCTCTGTAAACCCTAGAGATGGTTGTGCGTGAAAATCCCAGTAGATCAGCAAATTCTGAAATACTCAGACCAGCCCTTCTGGCAAAAACAACCATGTTCAAACGTTCAAAGTCACCTAAAACACCTTTCTTCCTCATTCCGATGCTCAGTTTGAAATGCAGCAGGTCTTATTGGCCATGTCTACATGCTTTAATGCATTGAGTTGCTGCCATGTGGCTGGCTGATTAGAAATTTGCGTCAATGAGCAGTTGGACAGGTGTACCAAATAAAGTGGCCGGAGAGTGTGTACTGTATATGAATAGAAATGTGTCATTTCGATATATTTGTTTGGATAGGGAGGGATTTTATTTTTACTATAAACCAATGGTTATTTTATACTGCTTTACATGATGAATATGAGGGTATAAGTTGTCTGTCATGTTACCTGACAACACTGGCCACTGTTTTTTAGTATCAGAGTTTTTAAAATATGGGATACCTCCCCATGTTGCTAACATCATGCCGTAAGTGACTACATTGATCGTGGTCAAAGTAATTGTTGTAGGCAGTTGATGAACTGCAGCTATGTATGGGGTTATAATGTGTTATTTAACTCCATGGAACAAGAGCTTTTTGTGCTTTCATAACTGGAAGTTGCCGTTGTGCTAAACTGACATCAATGAATCACCGTGTAGTGTGAAAACCGATGCTATGGAAACCTGTGATTTTATAACTGATTGTCATTTATGTTTTTTTATATTGCCTTGCATTTGAAAACCTTTAGCTTTTTAAAATTGTCTGCCAAAGTGCCTTTGGATACAGAGATTTTCTGTGCAGGTTCATGTTTGAATCACACCTTTTATAATTTACAGTGATGTTTGTTTCTGATGACGTAATTCCTGTTTTGATTTGATTAACGTGTTGCTGAACCTGATGTGTTGTTTGCTGAGATGAAAAGGAAATGGAAGGGAAATGCTCTTGGTGATGAAGTGCGCTAATGTGGATATCATGATTGGTTATCATGAATGTGGGTATCATGATTGACTGTGTGCAGTGAATGATGGGTGAACTATTTAATATAGTTAATATACTGTTTTATAGTTTCCGTTTCATCTTTTTAACCTTGCATACTTTCATTAACAGACAGTTGGCTTCACTAATCATATTGGGATGTGGTGCTTCATTTACACTGTGCTAAATTCATGCACTGGGATCTCAATTTGATCAAAATTGCCATTTTTATTACAAAAAAATAGTTTGAACTCACCTTGAAATAATTTCAAACTAATGCCAAATAAACGTTTATGTATCAATTTTAATACTGGCGTGATTCTTGTGCTCAGTGGTAATACAAATTCAAACACTTGCACAAGTAAATCACACTTCGGTTTCAAACTGTTCGATATCAGCCTAACATCCTGACACAGAAAGCAGAGGCACATCGGTAGCGGGGCAGCATTGCTGTTGACGTGTCAAAGTGAAGCGCACATATTTCTCGATTTCCGTTGCTGCTGCTGTGCACAAGCCACAACACAGTGCTGATGTTATCAAGACTTGCAATCACTTTGCACAATTTATTTCACAACTACATGTGGTAGGACAGTGGGGCACATTGCTTTGTGGTTGCATCTAAAAAGAGTCCTGTAGGTTCTATATTTACACTTGAGTTGCAAATGTTTATGTATTGTATTCACAAAATAAGAATTATTTAAGTAATTAATTATTACTTTCATTTATTTTATTTTCGGCTTGGTCCCTTTATTAATCTGGGGTCGCCACGGTGGAATAAACCGTTAACTTATCCAGCATATGTTTTATGCAGTGGATGCCCTTTCAGCTGCTACCCATCATTGGGAAACATCCATACACACTCATTCACACGCATACACTATGAACAATTTAGCTTACCCAATTCACCTATACCACATGTCTTTGGAGTTGTGGGGGAAACTGTAGGAAACCCACACGAACACGAGGTGTACATGCAAACTCCACACAGAAATGCCAACCGACCCAGTCGGGGCTCGAACCAGCAACCTTCTTGCTACCCACTGCACCACCGTGCTCTGCACCACCGTGCTCCCAATACAAGAATTAGACTGAGGATATTTAAACTCTCAATTGCTAATTTAATTCTCTCATACATTGGATGTGTCGTGTTTAATTAAGTTTTTAAATCAGTTTCTTCTATACATTTCTTGAATGAATATCTGCAAATTTGTACAAACTGCACCACAAAATAGATTGCATGCAAAAGCCTGTAACTTGCTTAATATTTTTAATTCAAATATCATTGGTGTTAATAAACAAATTGGTTCGATGAAAGTGACAAGTCCTTGTGTCAACATAAAGAACAAATCGTGAAGTCATGTTAGTTTAATCATGTTACAGTGTAGGACCACTGTCAACTTTTCCTGATGTAAACTGGGTAGGGTTTTGATGACAGTTTGCCTGGCGTAATAAGCAAGCCGTTATTAAATCATTTGGCAACAAAAATGTATTGGGAAAAAGGAGTTAAACATCTCTAATTAAAAAGAAAGTAGGACTACAAAATGTAGAGACTGCAATGACTTAATAGAAGAAGAAAAAAAATAACACAATTAAGATATACATATGTGTACATGAAATCAAGAAGCATCCTTCTGGATTATGTATGAATTGATTATGTGGTGAAAATAAAATGGTGGAACATATGCTCACCAGCCACTTTATAGGGTACACCTTACCAGTACCTGCTTGGACCTCCCTTTTTCCTTCAGAACTGACTTTATCCTTTGTTGCATAGATTCAACAGGGTACTTGAAATATTCCTCAGAGATTTTGGTCTGTACTTACATGATAGTATCACGCAGTTACTGCAGATTTGTCAGCTGCACGTCCATGATGCCAATCTCCTGTTCCACCACATTCCAAAGGTGCTCTATTGGATTGAGATCTGGTGACTCTGGAGACCATTTGAGTACAGTGAACTCATTGTCATGTTCATGAAACCAGTCTGAGATAATTCGCGCTTTAGGCTGTGGTGTGTTATCCTGCTGGAAGTAGCCATCAGAAGATGTGTACACTGTGGTCAAAGGGATGGACAGGGTCAGCAACAATACTCAGGTAGGCTGTAGCATTGACACAATGCTCAATTTGTTACTGATGGGCCCAAAGTGTGCCAAGAAAACATCCCCCACGCCATTACACCACCACCATCATCAGCCTGAACCGTTGATACAAGGCAGGATGGATCCATAATGCCAAATTTTTACCCTACCATTCGAATGTTGCAGCAGAAATCAAAACTCCACAGTCCAGGCAAAGTTTTTCTCTATTGTTCAATTTTGGTGAGCCTGTGTGAATCGTAACCTCAGTTCCCTGTTCTGACAAGTGGCACTGTTGTGGTCTTCTGTTGCTGTAGCCCATCCGCCTCAAAGTTGTATATATTGTCTCTTTTTTGGACAATTCTCTGTAAACCCTACAGATGGTTGTGAGTGAAAATCCCAGTAGATCAGCAGTTTCTGAAATACTCAGACCAATTTCTGGCACCAACAATCATGCCATGTTCAAAGTCACTTAAATCACCTTTCTTCCCCATTCCCATGTTCGGTTTAAATTGCAGCAAATCGTCTGGACCATGTCTACATGCTTAAATGCAGAGTTGCTGCCATGTGTTTGACTGTGACATGTGTTAAGGAGCAGTTGGACTGGTGTACCTTATAAAGTGGCCGGTGAGTGTATTACAGTGTAGATCATAATGTAGAGAAACACAACAAGGATACAACAATAAGGTGCAAAAATATGACATTATAACTAATAGGCAATAGAAAATTCATAATGGACACGGTAAATTTAAGACGATATAGTCTAATTTCCCTTCTCTCCTTCGCATTGCCACTCCACACCCCAGTTCAGTTGGTGGCGGTAAGGCACCAAAAGTTGGATTTGACACCATCAAGAAGAAGAAGAAGCGGAAGTGATTTTTTTTTGCTGTTTTAGAGAAGATGGCGGCGGCGTTGAACAGAAATTAGAATAATTAAAACATTTTTGTTTTCTCGTGCTAGAAATAACTGCTTTTATTTACACTCTGTTGCAACATGACCAATCGAACTGCGTACTTCTACGACCCAGACGTGGGGAACTTTCACTATGGTAAGATTTTAACGTATCGTATAGCATAGGTTGCTAATGGATGATAACGCTTAAATTACTGTTTACTCCTGTATGCGGCGATGCCCAGATGAGAAAAAATGCTATAAAAATGTTGTAAGAACTATAGTATTTTAGAAACATACTATAGTGTAAATATCGGCCTATAGTATTTACAACACTTGTTAATGAATTCTACTGCGGACTGTAATACTGTACTATATTTTAGGTGTTTACAACAATAAACTATGCTCTATTATAGTATAGTTTACCCTGTAGTTGTGGAGAATAGTGTAAGTGGTTCTACTATGTGTCTATACTTGTATTACAAAAGCTACTGTAGAATTACCCCAATAGATTAATTTAAGTGTTAATGTTTTACTTTAATTATTGAATAAAATGCATTATTATTATTAATATTAATATTAATAATATTATTGTTTTTAAATTAACCTTAATTAGTTTGCCCAGCTATAGCTGTTTACATCAACATTGCCTAACCGATACATTCAGACTTCAGCACTACAAACAAAAATAGAGTACTCAAGAATAGAAGATTGCAAGATGAACATTTTGATCTATATTTACAATTTTACATGAATCAGCGTACTTGACTGTTGAATAAAACTAATACATAACAAATGGGATTCAAATAACAAGCAAGTTAAATAAACTGATGAAATATAAATGATAATTAATAAATAGATTAATAAGAAACAAGTTAAACAAATAGATAAAAAAAAGAAAAAAAAAAAACAAGAACTGAAACCATCTCAAATGTTCTCTAATAATTTTTAGTTTATCTGTATCTCCAGCAGAAAAGATGCGATTTTAAATTGTAAAAAAAAACAAATGAAGACAGCTGAAGTCAATAATTCATTTAGCGTCACATGTTTACTGTTCCAAAATACTTTAAATGTTTCTCAAAATAAAATATACTGTCTTCAAAAAAGAAAAGAAGTTTTAGTTTTTACCCAGACATTTAAGAAGGATATATTTTAGAGCAGTAATCACAATAACGCAAAACCGTGATGTATTTATTCAAGGCTATCATACTATCAGAATCTTATACAGGCCCATGCCTATGCACAAATGCTTGTCATTTGAGACATTTTTACTGGCACTGCTCCTGCAAGATTCTGTCCTGCTTCCACAAAAAATGTTATTAATCTTTCATTTATGTCTGTAATTAAAGTTTTTCCCAGCTCCTGTTCGCTATGCCTGCAGGTAAACGCACAAGTAGCATATAGCATATAAACACACATAATATTAATGTTTTATAATAATGTATTTTTATTTTGAAATCAGAAAATTAGATCATTAGAAATTTATATTATTTAATATTTTAAGGGATGCACCGAAACTGGTATTGGTATTGGGCCCAATAGTGATCTTATGTACTTGAACTTGTGAAAACACACCGATACCCAGTGATGTCACTCACAGAACTTCTTCAGTACACGCAGAGGCTCCAGCAGCAGGATTACAATGTCACACAGCTAGGGTTTGGTGTACCTTATATCAGTTCCATTAAAATGCCTGAACACTCATGATCGCTTGTTACTGCATCATCGGGCTGTCCGAATCATTATGCTGTGTATATATCTTGCATTCCCTACTGGACAGATCTGGAACAATACCATTAAAACCAGGGTCCTACATACAGGCTCAAGCCTCTCCGGTTGTGCAGGAACATAACGAGCTGCTCAAAGCATTTCACACTGCATGATTCTGAATAGCAGACAGCTTCAGATATTTAGCGGGCGAGATATCTCATGGGTGTCGGCGACTCATCTGTGATTGTCTCAGATCATGTCTTTGATAGTTTACACTGTGTGATTGTTACTCACGTGATCCAGTACTGATCTGCCATTGATTTCAGGCATTTGTCTGCAATTGCTCCATAACTGTTGGTGAGTCAAAATCGGGGCTAAAAATCATGCAGTCTGAACTCAGCATTAGAATGAATATTCTAAATCAGGGGTGTCAAACTGAATTCCTGGAGGGCCGCAGCTTTGCACAGTTTTGTTCCAACCCATCTTCAGCACACATATCTGTAAATTTCAAACAAGCACTCATTTAGTTTTATTAGGTGTGCTTATTTTAAGTTGGAACTAATCTGTGCAGAGCTGCAGCCCTCCAGGAATTTAGTTTGAGACCATTGTTCTAAATGTTTTTTCCACTTGTT